TGAGGGGGTTTAAAATCTAACCTTTTGGGCCGTCCTCCAAGAAAGAAAAACAAAACTGCAGTTTGATTATTTTTTAAAGTTTGTGCCAGGAATTCCCCCGCCCCCAGATTCCTTCATCCATTAATCACAGACTGCTGATTCATGGGAGACTGGACTGATCGATGGATCGATGGTCCAGTGGAACAGCAGCCTGGTTTTTACTCTGCTGGTGTTTAAGGTCGGACACAGTTACGGTGAAGACCAGAAAAGTGGTAGATTAGCCTCATGGTAGCAGAGGAAGCTAATAAAAGAAAGCTAAAATATAGCGTGGGTCAGTTGTAGCTAATAAAAGAAAGCTAAAATATAGCCAAAGTGGGTCAGTTGTAAAATTTGTCAAACACCAGTGTTAACAACACTTTAAAACTTTAAAGTAAAAAAACTAACCACAACCTACGACGCCTAAAGTTAGCCTAAATGTTAGGTACCTTAAAAATACCAGGAACTACATAAAGTTTATTCATATCAGGAAATTTAACCGAATGAGTCGCCCCCTGGTGGCCTTTCGGCAAAACTACTATTTAATTGACAGCAGTTTTCTCACTAGCGGTCTGTGCCCGTGCCTTGTGTTTGGTGTGTGAAGATAAATCACAGCAGTGAAGATAATGACAGAGAATTAAAGATGAAACGACATAATGTCAGGTTGTAGTGTGTGAAACACGACAGAGCTCAGGAAACAAGTGTCGGCACAAAGACTCCTCCTCCCAGAATGCTTCATGTCACAGCCTCCATAAATTAGAATCACTTCAAAAGTCTCAGCTTTTGTTTTTTTTTTTCCAGTACTTAATTTGAAGAATTTGTACTTTTCACTTTCCTGCCTACGTCTGAAGATAAACATCTGTTTCTTCTTCTCCTCCTGTGGGAGGGAAACGACTGTAGGTCACCATCACAGCAACAAAGACAAAAACAACAACACCGAGTCAAAGACAGTGAGAGTGAGGAAGGAATCGAATCACAATCTTTTCTCTTCTGAACGTTGGATAAGTTCCAGGATTAGTACCGTTTTTAGTCACCTGCTGTAGTAACAGTCCACACACAGACTGTCCACAGGGGGGTGGTCAGTGGACATGGCCAAAGTTAACAAACAGGCAGAACTGTCTGAAGAACTGTTGAAGTCAACAGTCATATGTAATCGTCTTGTTACTGATGATAAATATCAGGGGCGGTGCTAAAGTGTGACCGGGATTCAAACTTTTTCTCAAACACTGCACTCACTTTTCTCCGAGGTTTTCCCAGGATCCTCTTTTCATAGAAACGGCCTCCTGGACTCTTCCAGGAAACGGCTAATTACAGCTGTTTCAGCAGCTTACGCTCCAGCTGCCTCTCCTCACCCTCACACCTCCTTACCCTCTCTAACATCACACCTCTGTTTCTCCTCTCCCGTTCCCTCAGAATCCTGCAGGAGGCAGCACTGGTGGCCCAGGACACGGTGGTTTGTGGTTTCCAGAGGGAAACGGGCGAGTGGAGCCTGTGTGTGTGGAGAGGCTGGGGCGGTACCGAGCTGGAACTGTTCTACCAGTCCTACGAGGAGCTGGGCCACCTGGAGACCAGCATGAGGAAGAAGAGGAGGTAGCAGGTAGAACACGCCGAGATCCAATAGGGTGCCAGGTCACGAGCACGAACGGCTGTGATGTCACAGCAGACATTGGTGAAAACAACTAGACTCTACACTGACAGACAGAGGGCAGCACCTTCTAGATCCTGCAGACCACTTGGACTACAGACCACCAGACCTAGAGTTAAAGACATCAACATGATCTATGCTAACTGTGTTAGCTGTGGTAACTAGCTAAACTATTATAGTCTGCATTTTAGTCATTATAAGTGAGTCCACACAGTGGACAGCATGGGTACTGCTGATCCCTTCATCCTACAGTCCACTGAGAAACAACCAGCCTGAACTGTCCCTTTATGTCCTGTGAGTCAGGGCACAGAAGACAGAGACGCTGAGTCACAGAGACGTGATCTTTCCTTCAATTGACAGAAGTGCTGGTCCCTGCTGCTCTGTCCTCTGCAGAGGACACTGGACATTCAGGATGAAGCAGCTGCTGAACAGCTGTGCTGGGAGACAGACGGAGATTCTCTCTCTTCCTCTCTCTTTCTCCCACGGGCTGTGGTTCTCACTAAACTGTTCCACGTTCTGTTTCCAGAGCAGCAGGAACATCTGCAGTCTGTTACGCAACAGCTCTGTCACTCGGTCACAGCGTCCCTGTCCTCCTCCTCCTGCTTCTCCTTGTCTCATCAGAGCAGAGGACTTTGACTGCAGTTCAGACTAACAAACTTTTGGACCTGGGACGCAACTCACCGGGTCTGAAAAAGGACTGCAGACTGCACCAACCAAAGCCAAGTCGCCGCTCCATCACAGCTCAATCAGTTTGTCCTCCATTACTGGCCTCCACCTTTGTTGTCAGAGCTCACCCTCTCTCACTTCTCTTCATCATCGTTCTAATATCTACCACTTCCTGTCCCATCCAACACCAACAACAGGTTTGTCACTAGTCAGTTTACACTACCTACAAATATTAGAACTGTTCCGTGGACAGGGTCTGAGGTCATGTGACCTCTCGTCCCCTCATACACTAACATATATTTGTACAGACTCTGTCCAATTGGGAATCATGGGAAAATCATGGAGCATGTCCTCAGCTCTGGACGATATTTTTGTATTTTCTGGGACATGCATGACTTTGGACTGAGAACCATTGTGAATTCTCTCTGCTCCAGCAACTTCAGGTATCAGAGAACTTTGCTCTCACTGGTCAGAACTGTTTGGCTCTTTTAGCTAGTTCTATTAATGAGAATCAGGTTTTTAGTTTGGAACAAAATCAAGTGTAAATGAAAGCTGTTATTTATTTATAAGAAGTTTATTGTAAAAATAAAAGTTTCTTAATTAAATTTTAATCCTGTTTCATTTTCACACTGAAGATGTTGAAGGTAACAATAGTGTGGGTCATGACACCAGGTCATGACCCACTCCACTGACATGTTGAATTGAAGGTCTTATTTTGAAATTGTAAATGAAAGAGTACAATAATTAAAAAGAAGTGGAGGGTATGCCCCAACAGAACAACAATGAAGAGCAGCCCCCTGGTCAGCCAGCAGTTAGCCCTCGCCCCCCCCCCCCTCCCTCAACTAAAACAACAAACAAGTCACCAGTCTATGGTTTTCATCAGGCACCAGGACACAGACCAGATCAGTGAGGTCAGATTAAAGTGAATAGGTGGATAAAAGGTTCATGTGAAGAACAAACCTGAAGAAGACATCCTGTGGCTGAGAAGTTGATCTTTAAGAGTTGGTCCACCTGGATCACCTTAACCATGCAGTCCAGGAAGTTCCACAGCTGGTACAGATCCAACACCAACACCTCTGGTGCAGGAAGTACCGATGAGTCTTACCTGTTTGACTGACTGATCTCACCATCTTCAGCCAATCAGGACAACCCGAGTAAAGCACCCACCACCTGCTACCAACACATAAACACATATTTGATCTCCGTCCAATCACATGGTTTCAGCTGGTTTTTAAATTCTAAGTAACAACAATTCCTGGTCTCATCATTTATACTCTGGTCAGGATTTACAACTACAGTAACAATCTGACCCACATTCGGCCCATCTGTACGTGACCCAGACCAACTCAGCCCACACTCTGTGCACCAGTGGAACATGCAGAAAAAGACAATCAAACAATGAAGACAGTGATGACAGTGTGTGGCCCACAGACCAGTCATAGCCCACGACTGGAGTCCCAGTCTGACTGTCCAACAATGGGCTTCACACAAAAACAATGTATACATTTACAGAAAGGTACAAAGGTCAAGGAAATACACATGAATACATTTACAAAAACACTAACAAATGTACATAAATATACATTTACAGAAGTCCAATACATATAAATATACAGAAGTCCAATACATATGAACATACATATACAGAAGTCCAATATATATAAATATACATTTCCAAAGGTCAAGGAAACACACATGACTTTCAGAGTCCTGGACGTCCACAGTGGTCGATGAAGACGTCACTCTGGACAGCCAGAAAATGACAGCAGCCAAAACGTCCAGAATTCTGGCGGAGAACCAGCCCAATTGTGAAAAACGAACGCAACGTCGATAAATTGCATAAAAGGATCGCAAATGGAACGTCAAAATTGTGGAATATTGTATTTATAAACACTGCCACTGAGGTCTAGATTTAAAAAAACTACGTGTTCCTGAGAGATTAGGCCACACTGGGAAAGAAAGGACAGGAGACAGGTGGACATGGCATCCCACAGGAGGCGCCACAGTGGCTCTGGACATCAGCCTTTTGACACATTGGCCAAAACAAGACTTCCTCACAGATCAAACTAAGCTAACCTCATCTTTAGAAACAACGTCAGTCCAGCTGTGGCTCAACATCTGGCCCCATACACACACCTATATCGAACAGGCAGAGTCATAAACATTATGGTCTGTAACGTTATAGTTGGACATATTTCAGACTGAACACTGGTCGTTATGTCGACGTATCATTGACCGACAACTCGCCATTTTTTAGACGCAACATTTTTATAAAAAGGTACAACAAACAGGACAGAACTAAAGGTCAGCACGGCGGCTGGAAAAAAGGTCATGGCAGGAGGAGCCAGGTTAAAGCGCACGATCAGCACGGCAGCTGAGAAAGAACACACCTAGTATCACTCACTGTCACATTTTAGTCGCGCAACTAATCGATATTTAGCACTTCCTCAGAGTTTGTTGTCCTCCAAAGTTGAAAAAAAAAAACAAACGTTATGGCACGACAGCCAGGCAAAACCCACCCCCACCCCCTCGAAGAAGCACAGCTTCTTTTGCAGCCGTGAAGGCAGTCAGGAACACGCAGTGTTGAAGACGCAATGTCACGATGTGTGTGTGTGTGTGTGTGAGAGAGATTCTTAAACTTTTAAGACTAAACTTTTGAGATTTAACTTTGCTTTGATAAATGTGTCAGTTGTTTGAATGTATAGACCATGTGTTCAGTCATATCTCAGTGATTTAAATATTAAGCATTCTTTATTCCTAAGGACAGACACAGAGAGAGGGAAAAAAAAAAAAAGTTCTGGACTCACCCTTTGACGACAGCACCTAAAAAGTAACAATCGTTAGTGCAGACAGAACATCACACTCCATGACTCCAAACTGCTGAGCTCCAGCCCACGTCACTCTGCAGACACTGGACCACCACGGTCACAGGTCAGACCCAGAGCCAACAGTTTAAACACATGCTCAGCAGTTCCACAGCCACACCATTAAAATGGGACCAGAGTCACAACAACCCTGAGTCGCCCCCTACTGGAGGACCTCGCTGACTGACTAACCAGATTCCACAGCCTAGAAACTCAAGACAGGAAACAACAGAAAGTAAACCAACCAGAGCAGAGACTGGTGGCCATTTACTGGTACTGCTATGGTTCACACAAACACATGCAAACAAACACTCGTACACACGTTCACAACAAGGCAACAGCGGCCTAGCCGAACACAGCAGCGGTGCAGCGACCGCACAGAATAGAAGAAAAACGACGCCCCCTACCGTGTTGAAGCTCTTCAGGACAAACTATCTGGAAAATAAACCAGAGAATATCCTGTCAGTACTGCAGTACATTTGTCCAACAATGACTTTGTTATTAAATGAAGACCCGCGTTTGACTCCACAGATCTGTCTCACCTGGTCCTTCAGTTCCAGGACTGGACTGTGACTCTGGACGACGTCCACCTGGTCTCCGTGAGCCGAAGTCCCAGCGTTTCTGTTCATTCAAACATCGTTGACAACAAGTTTAATGTAGACGTCAGAGAAGCCGGACTTCAAACACTACAGTATGACTCCAGACTTCTCCTAACACACTCTCACCACGAAGCTCAGGTTTTTAAATTAGTTAAAAATACGTTTTTTAAGATATCTTCTTTAAAATCCGTTTCCGTCCACTTTAAGTGATGGCTAAGCTAGTCTGCTAACTAAAACTACTGAGTCAAAACGCCAACATTAAGGAATAAAAGTCCAAAAGTCTCTCACCTTTCAACCGGAGCCATTCATCTGGACCAGGTCGAGCCGCCATTATGAGTAACTCCCGCGGCCTTTAAAGTTCACGGGAACTTTTTCAGCGTCCGACGTCACATCCTACGACCGTCAAATCTTTGTGACGCTACTACACAGAAAAGCAGCGTACGGATGCAGTTGGAGTTTGAGGAAGATGATGATGATGAAGAAGACTCGTTCATAAGTAGAGTTTCAGCAACACCAGAGTTAAAAAACTTTAAAAAAAAAACGTAAAAAAGTAACAATACATCAGTGCAAGACGGTAATGTGGCCTAAAATATAACTTAACTTAACATAAATGACAAAATATTGACATTACCAATAAAATGTTCAAACCCAAGAAGGACTTCAGATAGACAGACAGACAGACAGGCAGATAGATCTTTATTAATTCCTCGGGATTCCCTTCGCGAAAGTACGGCAGTTATCCTCAGTAGTTAGAGGTTTATTTAAAGAATCAAAAGTAAAAAAAGTAAAGAAAAAATAATGACACGGAACTGTCAAGAAAACGACGTCTTTAAATGTTATGTTTGAGTCATGTCAGTAAATTTATATTAGGGGAAAATGTATGTAAAAGCACGAATTGAAGAAAAACTGTATACAAAAAATATTGTAATTGTTGAGGAAAAAATACTTTTGTTAAGTCAAAGTAATTTGGAAAGTAATTTTACACTTATCAATTGACATGTTTTCTGATGTCAGTGAACGCACCACTCTATTACGCTTACTTACGCTTAAGTAAATGAATCACATGAACAATACGTTACTAATACTTTGTTATATTATTATTATAGTACTCATATTTTTTTAATGACGTAAACCGTATCAGTCTCAGAACATAGTATAGTAGGAACTGTTGCTGTCCTGATGCTTCCTGTGTGACGTCAGACAGTCCACCGTGCGCCACTGAAAAAAAAAAACCCGACACATTTTACAATTTAATTGTATAATTTCTCTACTGACGCCTCTTCTTCCTCTACCCACTCACGTCTGTACTTTTTCAAGAGGTTTGCTGTTGTGGTCTTAGTGGAGTGTCGGCTGTGTTGGACAGTTTTAAAAGGCACGTTTCATGAGCAGCGCCGGTGTGTGGCGTCTGTCTCTAGGCAACCATGAGCCACACATAGAAGATGGGGGGGTTATTTTGATTATTGTTAGATTTATTGTCGATGTGTATGTGTGATAGATGTGTTTATAAAAACTGCCAGCATCTGAACGCATGCGCAGAGTGACGGGTACTGCACATCTAATAATTCACTCATAGTTACTTACAGGCGCAACGGAAGCTTAAAATAGCATTTCGTCCAGCGACTTCAACATCCGGTCAGAGCAGTATCACTGAGAGCAGGGCCGTATATTAGTCTACGACTGACAGTCTAGAAAGAACCACGTTCCACACGTTCTGCCAGACGCCGCCCAGAAGAACAGTCATGGCTGAAATACACCACATACAGTGAATAAAGAAGCAGCTGCAGACGTCCTCACATTTCCCCACTTTTATTTCTTAAATAGAAAAGAGTCCATGTGGACCGAGCTGAAGGAACAAAAGTCTTACAAAAGTCAAAGGAACTTATAAAACAAAACAAAAACATAACTAAGATTACAGCACAGTCACTGATCTGTAAAACTGTTTGTTCATGTTGAAATCTGACACAGGGCTGCAACAGTACAGTCCCAGGCCCACCTGTCTTCCGTATCTAACCACGCCCCCTGCCCTTACCCATGAGCCTCGTACCACAGCTGGGTCAGACTTGAGTTGACCGGGACCAGCCAGAGAAGTTAATGTCTGTTTGTCTATTCTAAGATAAAAAAGGAATGATGAAGAGAGAAGGATTGATCTGGCCAATCAGAGCACTGCTCTTGATTCACACACGCACACATACACACACCCACACACACAGACATAGAATAATACCTAAAGCAGACTGTGCAAAACTCTTTGGTGACAATGAGTTTAAAGGGAGAGTTCAAGTTTTTGTAAATTGTGGTTGACTTTGATGATTGACTGGATCGCTGTGATGGAAAAAATTGAGTCGCTTAAAAAAACTCAGCTTTCCATCTGCTGAAGTCAAATAGTTTGATAAAGAGAGTGTTAACGGCTCTTTTAGTTTGTTTTTCTGCCTTTTCTGATGACGCACTGAGTTCGTAAACATAGTTCGTAAACATAGAGAACGTTAGCATTGATAACATGCTGCCCCCAGGTCTTTATTCAAATGTGGTATTTGTGACTTTTGTCAATGAAATACTTTGGTCAGATTTCCCACTGTGACACAAACTGACCACACGGGGCAGCATTGGACCACCAGCATTTTAAATTCATAAAGCAGGTTTTTCACAACACAATCTCCATGTAAAATAACCTGTCTTTATCTGGTGCAGTCACGCAGCAGCAGCTGGTCCACTTCCTGCTTCGGCCTTATGCTGAAATGTGTTCACTGGAAACTTTGGTGTTGAAAACTGCCTTGCTGAGAATAACTTAAATAGCACAAATGAATCAATAGAGGCAGCGTTGCACCAGCAGCTCATGTGTGCCTGTAGTAAAATGATTGAAGGTTTTTCACAACACAATCTCCATGTAAAATAACCTGTCTTTATCTGGTGCAGTCACGCAGCAGCAGCTGGTCCACTTCCTGCTTCGGCCTTATGCTGAAATGTGTTCACTGGAAACTTTGGTGTTGAAAACTGCCTTGCTGAGAATAACTTAAATAGCACAAATGAATCAATAGAGGCAGCGTTGCACCAGCAGCTCATGTGTGCCTGTAGTAAAATGATTGATTTTCTCTATGGACCATGGTGTGTGTGGGGGCGGGGGGACTAGTTGACAAACCACGAGTCGTTGTTGGACAAAGCTGTGGGACAGTGAGAAGAACAGATGTTACTGATATGATGAAGTGTTGTGAGTCTGCTCTCACACATCGGTACCTGACATAACCACTGTTTAAAAGAACCTGAACTCACCCGCAGGAACAAAAACATGATTGAAACAATCGATCCCATGACTGAGCGGTTCTACCACCTTTAAATCTGACACTTTTTTTTAAAACAGCCAGAAAGTAGAACATACTGATCCTGTAACTTCAATAAATTAGACAGCAAGTGTTGAATTGTCTGTTTCAAATCCAGCAGTTGGTTCACAGAAATGAATCAATAAAGAAAATTAAAAAAAGTAACAGTGTTATGTCAGATTTGTTTAAAAAAAAAAAATCAAAGAAAATGTAAAAGTAAGAAAAAAAAAAACTCGATCTGGAGTTGAGCGCTCACCAGTCATTCAGGTCATGTGACCACATGGATAAAATGTTTGGAATCTGTAAACATTCACCAACAGAGAATTGTTTTTCGAACAAACACACATGGAATACTTTCTCGTCTGCAGCAGAGCCAGAACTTCACCCAGGTACTTGCTGAAATATCTCCACAATGTCATCAGCTCCAGACCAGAACGTCGTCAACGTTCCGTCCATGTTCAAAGTGTAGAGAACCTCAGCAAAGTCCAGACGTCCCTGAAGATCAGTTCACCCTGGGTGAGTTCTGCGCTTTGAAAAAAAAAAATCCAAATACGTCTGCCTACAAGTCTTGCGTTTGAGTAAAAAATAAATTAGGTGGACAAAACACCACTAGGAGGTGCCGGAGAAACCAAAGTGTCCAGGTCTGTCTTCATGCTGTCCGGACTGAGTCATTGTTGCTGACCATTTTTCTGAAGCTCATGTCGTTCTTCTCCAGCCAAAGCTCGGCCAACTGCTGGGTGGAACCGTACGACGAGGCCTTGGAACCCAGACACATCTTGTACTGCTTGGCCTCCAGGTTTGGGTCACATATGACCGGGTGGTGGACGTGCACGATGCCCGTGTCTGTACTCCTGAACAACTTAATCCCTGTCTGGATAAACTTGTTAAAGAGGTCCACGTCCTCCAGCCCCCAGCCCTGTATGGAGGTGTCGAAGCCCCCGGCTTTGAGCAGGTCTCCTTTGTAAACACAAACGATCCCAAAGCCGTAGTTTCTCCACAGACCCGTCTTGGAGGTGAAGACGTAGTGATTGTTGCTAGGAATCTTCCCAGCGTAAACCACTTTAGGGTCATACTGACTGAAGATGACCGGGAAGTAGGCCAGTTCACCCAGGGCGGTGTTGGCCCGACATCGTTGAAGGAACTCACTAGTGAAGAGCAGATCTACGTCACAGTAAAAGAGCAAGGAATCGTTGGAGAAATGTAAGGAACCCACTTCCAAAGCCAAAGCCCTGGAGAAGGAGCCGGTGACAGGTTTTATCTCCATCTCTGCTCGTGGATACTTCATGTGGTACTCCCTCATGAGCTCCACCTGCTTGACCCGCTCCGTATTGTTGTCTGTGCTGAAGAGCAGGATCAGCAGCTTGACGTTTTGGTTGGGAATCAGGCAAACCCGTTCAAAGTTGGCCATGAAGCGTACAAAAATGTCGTAACGACCCGACAGCGGCACCAAGATGTTGACCTTCTTCTCTTTTGGTTCTCTCTGGTCTTGGCCAGATGTGGCCAATTTGAAGGGCACTAGCATTTTCAGGGAGTTGGAGATGAAGGAGAGCGAGTCCAGTTCTTTGTTGATGTGACTGGCCAGAGCCGAGGCGTCCATCTCTTCTTCTTCTCTGACCTGGATTTGGCTGAAGGTCTGCTGCAGGTAGGCGTGTCTCCTCACAGGAACCGTCATGGTCTTTCCTTTGTGTTTCTTGTAGAGCAGCAACAGATCCAAAACGTACTCCGCCCCGTACAAAGGGTTCACCCTGCGGTAGCCATACTGGATTTCTTTAAAGTCGATGACTCGGCCTCGAGTCTTGGCGTTGGCATTGATCATCTCCATCACTTGCATGATGATGTCATCTAGTGCCTGCCTCTGGGAGGAGTCCATCCCCCGGCGCGGTGGCTGACTGTCAGATGCTGAGTACAGATACTTCCCCGTCAGAAATTCCCATTCCAGAACTTCTTCCCTCTGCCGTGGATGGAAGCGCATGAATGACGGTGGCATTCCCAGCTGGAGGTCGTCTCGGGTAGGTTCAGGCGCTCCGTAGCGCCCCATCTGGACGATCTCCCGGTGGAGCTCAATGGTGCGGTGGCGCAGGTCAGCGATCTTACGGCTGAGCATGTAGCTGTGTAGGCGGTACTGATAGGGGGGGTTCTTGTTGGGGTGGAGGGTGATGGCTCTGTGGATCTTGCTGTTGTGAAGGTCTCGGATGTAGCCCTTCTTGTTTGGCTCGTAGTTCTCATAGAATAGTTGCTGCATCTGTAGAGAGAAGAGAAGAACCGTTGTTAGTGTTTTTACTTTTTTTTTTAAGTTATTGACAACCTCGATACTGATTTACAAAAAGAACAGAACTGTTTCTTTTATAGGAACCAGGATTTGAACTAATACTGATGCCACCTCCACACCCTGCTGCTTTTACTTTTTTTTTTAAGTTATTGACAACCTCGATACTGATTTACAAAAAGAACAGAACTGTTTCTTTTATAGGAACCAGGATTTGAACTAATACTGATGCCACCTCCACACCCTGCTGCCCTACAGCTCTGCTGCTGCTGCTGCTGACGACACGGACACGTGTGAGTGCGCACATCAAACTTGCAGCAGCGTTGACAAACCCACTGTTGGTTCATGCACCGTGAACACAGGCACAGCTGTTTGGAGCCTCTGGCAGGACCAGGACCTGCACCGTGGTCCTGAAGGCAGCGTTTGTGTCGCTGCTGCAGCGTCAGAGCGGCTGCATCCACCACAGAGGCTAATTTGAGAGGAAGGCTGAGGAATGCGGCCACATGCCTGATCCCTGGGGAGACGCCGTACGGAGAACCAGGCAGGACGTTTCTGAGAGCGGTGGAAAAATGATACCTGGAGCTGAAGGACATCCCAGGAACTGCCTGACTAACTCTTTGCTTTTCCATGGATTTAGCCCACGTCCCTGTGCGGCTGCCTGCCAATCACAACACACTGTCACTCTGTCATTAATAACCAGCTAAGGCTGCAAAGGTCAAAGATCAAACCTTTAGTCCTGACCATGTCGAGTTTCAAGGTTAAACTCGAGCCAGAGCAGCAACAAAAAAAATTATAATATTTAACTATTACGCATTCCACAGAACTTTGCCCAGTTCCTTTGTCAGGGTCCAGTCCTGGGGGGTTTGTCAAAGTGTGGTCCAAAGAACCTACAGATTAAAACCATGTTGTCATTAACACCAGGCAACTCTCCGCATGTTCCACAGGCCATTGTTAGAACACACAGTAAAAGAGTCACATTTCCCAAGTCTATGAAGCTGAGGTTTAATTATACTGTTAAAATTGTTTTTGTTTTCTTTTATTTATTTTTCTAAATATGATTTAACTATTACGCATTCCACAGAACTTCTTTCTCGTTCTCGTTAGTTCATCTTCAGCTACACTGCCAGAAATGTGTTTAAAAATTTAAATTGTTGGACAGCCCCAGGTGTTTGGTCAAATCATGGAAATAATTAGAAAGAATTTCTAAAACATATCTGTTGGATCAGGGGAATTAAACTTCGCTTCAAAAACAATCTAATTTGAAGTAGTGTAGCAGTATAAATGGCAATAAATGGAAAGAACATTTTATCATAAGTTGAGGAACTGCAGCTAAATGGAGGCTCATTTAAACAAAGTTTGCAGAAGAGTTAGCGCCTGCAGACTGCAGAAGATATTTAGTCACCAACGCCTCAAACTGTTGCAGCAAACACAAACATTTGTTCTCCGTGGACAGTGGTGTGGAACAGAGAGAACCAAAAAGGGGAGCCTAAGAGGGGAGACCTCGGTCCCTCCAGTGGTTTACCTCTTTGTGCCGCCTCAGCAGCTTCAGACCAGTGTTGATCAGCTGACTGATAACTGGTCCGGATGTTTATCTCCCTCCTGCGGCCCTGCCGTCGTTAAGAGACCGGCTAATTATACTAGCTCAAGGTCTGCGGTCAACGCTGCAGCCTTCCACTCATTAGTGAGATTTCTATACGCTCGTTAACCTGGAACCTCACTGCTGCAATTAAAATGTGCTGTGACTAAAGGGTAAGAACACGGTTAGCCACGTGTGAGTGCAGTGGACGTCCACCACCATCTGGACGTCAGAGGGAAACGCAGAGATTTTTTAATACATTCATAAATGATTTGACTAGAGAATAATTACAGCTAATAATACATTCTGTTAACTATACTAGAGCTTCATCGATCGACTCGTCGCAGACTGGAAATGGTTGGATTTCACCAGGACCGTACCTGACTGGTACATCGGCCAATCAGAACACACCTATGTCCAATGTTGAAATCGTTATATCTCAGAGAACTGGAGAGGAAGCTGAAGCGAACTCGTTGTTAGCTTGGAAGTAGTTTACAGTGAGCCAAGTTTACAGTGAGCCAAACAAAAACGGAGAACTGCAATGATTTAGTCTGGAACCCAAACCTAATGTGACACCGTCACCAGCTAAACAGGAGCGCCACCCTGAGTTATTCTTGCAGTGGGCTAACGTTAATGTTGACTAACATTACCTTCATGCCCATGCTGCTCAGTAGACACAGAACTATTGTAGAACTATTGGACAAAGGTTTTAGTTACTTCATTCAATGTTTGTGAAATATTTCCTAATATTGTGAGAACTGATACTTCCCAATGAGGAACTTAGTTCCAAAGACAAGTCAGTGATATTACTGCTGCTCTGTCCTCGTTCTTGAGATGGAAGTCTGATTAAAAAAACAAAAAACAAACATGATGTCATAGTAATGATGTCATCATAGTTATCTGCAGCTGGAGCCTGTGGGAAAACACCTCCTCAATGGCAAACAGTAAGTGGGAACAAGAGCAGTCACTGTTTGATGATGATGAAATGACAGGAAGTTAAAGGGACAGTACTGGTACAGTACTGGTGCAGTACTGGTGCAGTACTGGGTACTAACACAAAACACAAAGACAGATATTCTTTGTCACTGTTTTTCATCAGGAAACTTCAGTTTTGACAAAATCAAGTTTTGTCAAAGGGACACAAACTACCATTCACACTCATATTTAACACCCATGGTCAGTGTGAATGTGACTGTTTTATAAATCTAATCCCGTAACGAGGAAACCTGAGAACCCGGAGAAAACTGACAGAACTTTAACCGATAGAAGTAGACGGCGAGAAGTACAGGATGTTTTAATGACTGTCTGGGACTGAGGTAAAGTGACTATAAATCAGACTTGACTGAACGACAACAGATCAGATAAGAGCTTCATATGAAGTGTAGAACCACCCCCGGTCCGCCGCCCCTCCATGACAGACTGGATTTACTTCCCAGCGTGTCTTTGTTTAACAATAAATGTAGTAAAATTAATTCTGACTCCAATTATTTACAGTCACACTGTACGACAACAATAGCTGCTGTCAGCCAGGAACTCTGGGAACTCTGAACGTCTGAAGACAAAGACAAAGAAGACACAATCAATAAAAGACTGAGATGTCTGCAGTGAGACAAATTGTATTGTGAGATTCTTAACAATACCCAGGCCTAGACTTCTTATTTTGAAAAGAAATATTACAACATTTTCTTGGCCATCTGCACCACCTAGTGAAAGCATATTTAAATGTTTTACCTGTCACTGTCACATAAATAAACAAAGGTATTAATTGAAATAAATAATTTTTTCCCCAGTTTAAGAACAATTGCATACTTATCCACATGACCCCTGATGACCTGATGGCACACTAATGTGCTGCAGTGCAGAGGTTTAGAACCACTGGTTCATTCATTATCTGGGCTAACCGTCTTTCTACCCTTCCTTGTTGTTTATTCTGTTTACTTCCTTTAGGGAAATACTTTTTTTAGTTTGTGTTACTTCTTAGAAACAGCTGAGCAGGAAAAGAACACGCCCCCTGCTGTAGACCAGTCCACAAATGGTAAACAAAAAAAAACAAACGGCAGCCCACGTGGGCAGGTCAGAATGTGACCCACTGTGTCAGTGAACAGAGTCTCTGTTGGAGCTGCAGCTACAGTACGTGCTGCGACACGTTCCTGTCGTTACACAATCGTCTCTCACTCAGGTTACAGAGTCCAGGTCAGCGAGGGCCGCGAGGCAGCAGAACTCTGAGGAAAACACGGATCATTTCATATCAGGAGAGAAATCGTTAACGGCTACATTTACGGCTAAGCTCCACCAGATTTCCAGAGAAGCGAGTTGAGTCACTGCTGCTGTTGCGTTCGGGCACAAAACAAGGTGTTACAGAGCAGCTGGAGAACAGTAGTAGAACCTGGCCTCAAACACAGACTGAGGTTGCAGCATTTATCTCTGTCTCTTTGTGAGTTAACGTCAGTTTTAAATATTGTAGACTTACAGATGGACCACCTCCCAAAAAAACTCTTGTAGACTTACAGATGGACCACCTCCCGAAAAAACTCAGACTATACTGTTTAACTTGACAGGAAGTGTTTAAATGTCAAGTTTCTGTGAGATTTAAACTGACATTTTAACAAATAGAGGAAAAGTCAAAAATATATTTAAATAATTCAAATGTCATTTTAAAGAATTCAGATTGTCCGATTTTTTCGTTCCGTGTCAACCAATCAGAATTATGTTCGACCCAGAACGTACGGACTAAGAACTAAAGTCAGGAAGTCTGTGGATCAAAGATAAAACATGGACAGTTAGAGGGTTCAATTCCCGACTGACAAGTGTTCTCTGGTCAAGAACTTCACGAGGCTCTGAAGTGTTAGCATTGCTGACGACGAGAGGAGATGAAAAATGTTGCAGATGAATTTGTACACCACTGAAGGACTGAACATCAATACTGCAGTATTTAGTACTGTTATTTGAACTTCAGTCATAAATCAGCAGTGAAAACACGAAGCAGTAAATATCCTGGCCATGAGTTTCCACTGTGGCGTGCTGCAGCAGGTGTGAAGGCCAGAGTTTTATCACCAACTCTTCAGCGCCCTTACATCGATTTACAGAGTATTGGATGAGTTTATTGGTCAGAGAATAAAAAGTAAAAAGAAGAACCCACAGTGACATGTGTCAGTAATCAGACACAGATGTGTTCAATAACGCCAGAGAATTCAAAACACCTGCTTCTGCTGAGAGCCTTCAGAGTCCTGGCCCTTCTGGTCAACAATGGTGCTGCAGCCTGAGCCACACTTTCAGGTCATTTTAACTCTGTGTTGTTCAATCTTGGGGTTGCAACCCCACTTGGGGTCACCTTGAACTTAAATGGGGTTGTCCGAAATGTCTAGTAGTCCATCTGGCCCTTAACGACACGTTAACTGAC